ATGATGGTGAAAGTTTTTCTTTTTCGGGTCACCCTGCCTTGGTGGGAATCAGCCAGTGTGTTAATAAAAATAGAAAATCTACATGGGGAAGTGGAAGTCATGTGTGTCGTAAGAGGCGGCTAAAATGCCAGGAGCAAGGGGCTTGTAACACCTGTATATATTACTAAAGTTAAAAAGAGAAACTTTCATTCTTCTCTTTAGGTCACCCTGCCTAGGTGGCAGTGGTGGGCACAGCTAACCAAAAAGTTAGCTTTGCTAATTTCTAATCCACTAACTAAAAAATTAGCCCTGCTAATGCTAAACGGCTGAAAAAGTTAGTGGAAACTTACGTTAAACGCTAAGCGCTAACTTTTTCACATGAATTCAGATTTGGTTTAGTTTTTTGGTTTTTTGCTTTTAAGACTTATAGAGCAGACCTGGAGAGCTTCCTAATAAGATATAGAATGCCAAGGTCATGTGATGATCAAGTGCCACTAGTGCAAAAATAATGATTGTTTAATTTTGTGATGTAACACGAGCGACCGACACGGACGCACTTGTCGCTTCACTGAAGCTCCATTGCACCCGAAGACCAAGTTAGCTTATTTGACTGTTTTCTTCATTAGTTCCAGTTACTCGTTGTATTTATTCATTTTTTTTCTGTTCATGTTTGCATTTAACTTGATTTAAATTTTGAACCCAGTAAACTACAAACAGGTAGTTGAAAATTGTGCTTAAAGTTGAAACCTCAAGTCCAACTTACTGCTGCACCATACAGGTGCACACAAGTAGTTAAAGGAAGAAATGAAATCAAACATCAGTATTAATCCAACATACACATTATTTACTGTACAAAATGCATAGCATGGGTATCATGCCAAGATCAGATGATGACTGGGCTGATTACTACCTGGCTGGGCCTTCTCTGTCACTTTGATGTGATGCTGGTTGTCCTTCATGAGCATCAGCCTCTCACAGTTTCCATCTGACAGGGTGGCACTCTTGGCCCTCAAGATATCTTTGCCTATAGAGAATAGGTGCTTAACTGCAGCACTGGATGGGATGGCGGTGTTGTACTTAATGAATAGGTCGATCAAGACCTGCTCATCCAAGAAGGCGACTTCACTCGCGACCTCCTCCGAGCCGGTCTCCAGTCAGGTCTTCACTATGCTTTGTGCCTTCGACTTCAGTGACTTGTTGCTTCTGCTGTCCTGGAACTGAGTGGTGCTGCTGCTTTCCCACAACTAGCAACGTATGAATTTTGTTTTAGCGGACTCAAAGTTAGCAGAACTTTATTTAGCAAAAGTTAATTGGTCCGCTAACAGTTTCCGAAGTTAGCGGAAACACTAATCGGCTAAACAAAAAGTTAGTTCTGCTAATTAGCGGTTAGTGGAACAGTGCCCACCACTGCTGGGTAGGATATGGCCGGTTTGGTGGAAAAAAAAATTAGCACAGGGATATCTTGCTACTCCTACTTACACTTTGGTCACACTTCACAGACACGCACATGCATATATATATATACATACATCTAGGTTTTTCTCCTTTTTCTAAATAGCTCTTGTTCTTTTTTATTTCTTCTATTGTCCATGGGGAAGTGGAAAAGAATCTTTCCTCCGTAAGCCATGCGTGTCGTATGAGGCGACTAAAATGCCGGGAGCAATGGGCTAGTAACCCCTTCTCCTGTATACATTTACTAAAAAAGAGAAGAAGAAAAACTTTATAAAACTGGGATGCTTAAATGTGCGTGGATGTAGTGCGGATGACAAGAAACAGATGATTGCTGATGTTATGAATGAAAAGAAGTTGGATTTTCCTGGCTCTAAGCGAAACAAAGCTGAAGGGGTAGGAGAGTTTCAGTGGGGGGAAATAAATGGGATTAAATCTGGAGTATCTGAGAGAGTTAGAGCAAAGGAAGGGGTAGCAGTAATGTTAAATGATCAGTTATGGAAGGAGGAAAAGAGAATATGAATGTGTAAATTCAAGAATTATGTGGATTAAAGTAAAGGTTGGATGCGAGAAGTGGGTCATAATAAGCGTGTATGCACCTGGAGAAGAGAGGAATGCAGAGGAGAGAGAGAGATTTTGGGAGATGTTAAGTGAATGTATAGGAGCCTTTGAACCAAGTGAGAGAGTAATTGTGGTAGGGGACCTGAATGCTAAAGTAGGAGAAACTTTTAGAGAGGGTGTGGTAGGTAAGTTTGGGGTGCCAGGTGTAAATGATAATGGGAGCCCTTTGATTGAACTTTGTATAGAAAGGGGTTTAGTTATAGGTAATACATATTTAAGAAAAAAGAGGATAAATAAGTATACACCGATATGATGTAGGGCGAAATGATAGTAGTTTGTTGGTTTATGTATTGGTAGATAAAAGACTGTTGAGTAGACTTCAGGATGTACATGTTTATAGAAGGGCCACAGATATATCAGATCACTTTCTAGTTGTAGCTACACTGAGAGTAAAAGGTAGATGGGATACAAGGAGAATAGAAGCATCAGGGAAGAGAGAGGTGAAGGTTTATAAACTAAAAGAGGAGGCAGTTAAGGTAAGATATAAACAGCTATTGGAGGATAGATGGGCTAATGAGAGCATAGGCAATGGGGTCGAAGAGGTATGGGGTAGGTTTAAAAATGTAGTGTTAGAGTGTTCAGCAGAAGTTTGTGGTTACAGGAAAGTGGGTGCGGGAGGAAGAGGAGTGATTGGTGGAATGATGATGTAAAGAGAGTAGTAAGGGAGAAAAAGTTAGCATATGAGAAGTTTTTTACAAAGTAGAAGTGATGCAAGGAGGGAAGAGTATATGGAGAAAAGAGAGAGGTTAAGAGAGTGGTGAAGCAATGTAAAAAGAGAGCAAATGAGAGAGTGGGTGAGATGTTATCAACAAATTTTGTTGAAAATAAGAAAAAGTTTTGGAGTGAGATTAACAAGTTAAGAAAGCCTAGAGAACAATGGATTTGTCAGTTAAAAATAGGAGAGGAGAGTTATTAAATGGAGAGTTAGAGGTATTGGGAAGATGGAGGGAATATTTTGAGGAATTGTTAAATGTTGATGAAGATAGGGAAGCTGTGATTTCGTGTATAGGGCAAGGAGGAATAACATCTTGTAGGAGTGAGGAAGAGCCAGTTGTGAGTGTGGGGGAAGTTCGTGAGGCAGTAGGTAAAATGAAAGGGGGTAAGGCAGCCGGGATTGATGGGATAAAGATAGAAATGTTAAAAGCAGGTGGGGATATAGTTTTGGAGTGGTTGGTGCAATTATTTAATAAATGTATGGAAGAGGGTAAGGTACCTAGGGATTGGCAGAGAGCATGCATAGTTCCTTTGTATAAAGGCAAAGGGGATAAAAGAGAGTGCAAAAATTATAGGGGGATAAGTCTGTTGAGTGTACCTGGTAAAGTGTATGGTAGAGTTATAATTGAAAGAATTAAGAGTAAGACGGAGAATAGGATAGCAGATGAACAAGGAGGCTTTAGGAAAGGTAGGGGGTGTGTGGACCAGGTGTTTACAGTGAAACATATAAGTGAACAGTATTTAGATAAGGCTAGAGAGGTTTTTGTGGCATTTATGGATTTGGAAAAGGCATATGACAGGGTGGATAGGGGGCAATGTGGCAGATGTTGCAAGTGTATGTGTAGGAGGTAGGTTACTGAAAGCAGTGAAGAGTTTTTACGAGGATAGTGAGGCTCAAGTTAGAGTATGTAGGAAAGAGGGAAATTTTTTCCCAGTAAAAGTAGGCCTTAGACAAGGATGTGTGATGTCACCGTGGTTGTTTAATATATTTATAGATGGGGTTGTAAGAGAAGTAAATGCGAGGGTCTTGGCAAGAGGCGTGGAGTTAAAAGATAAAGAATCACACACAAAGTGGGAGTTGTCACAGCTGCTCTTTGCTGATGACACTGTGCTCTTGGGAGATTCTGAAGAGAAGCTGCAGAGATTGGTGGATGAATTTGGTAGGGTGTGCAAAAGAAGAAAATTAAAGGTGAATACAGGAAAGAGTAAGGTTATGAGGATAACAAAAAGATTAGGTGATGAAAGATTGAATATCAGATTGGAGGGAGAGAGTATGGAGGAGGTGAAACGTATTCAGATATTTGGGAGTGGACGTGTCGGCGGATGGGTCTATGAAAGATGAGGTGAATCATAGAATTGATGAGGGAAAAAGAGTGAGTGGTGCACTTAGGAGTCTGTGGAGACAAAGAACTTTGTCCTTGGAGGCAAAGAGGGGAATGTATGAGAGTATAGTTTTACCAACGCTCTTATATGGTGTGAAGCGTGGGTGATGAATGTTGCAGCGAGGAGAAGGCTGGAGGCAGTGGAGATGTCATGTCTGAGGGCAATGTGTGGTGTGAATATAATGCAGAGAATTCGTAGTTTGGAAGTTAGGAGGAGGTGCGGGATTACCAAAACTGTTGTCCAGAGGGCTGAGGAAGGGTTGTTGAGGTGGTTCGGACATGTAGAGAGAATGGAGCGAAACAGAATGACTTCAAGAGTGTATCAGTCTGTAGTGGAAGGAAGGCGGGGTAGGGTCGGCCTAGGAAGGGTTGGAGGGAGGGGGTAAAGGAGGTTTTGTGTGCGAGGGGCTTGGACTTCCAGCAGGCATGCGTGAGCGTGTTTGATAGGAGTGAATGGAGACAAATGGTTTTTAATACTTGACGTGCTGTTGGAGTGTGAGCAAAGTAACATTTATGAAGGGATTCAGGGAAACCGGCAGGCCGGACTTGAGTCCTGGAGATGGGAAATACAGTGCCTGCACTCTGAAGGAGGGGTGTTAATGTTGCAGTTTAAAAACTGTAGTGTAAAGCACCCTTCTGGCAAGACAGTGATGGAGTGAATGATGGTGAAAGTTTTTCTTTTTCGGGCCACCCTGCCTTGGTGGGAATCGGCCAGTGTGATAATAAAATATAATAATAATTTTTAATATTTTTCACAGATCAGAAAACTGATTTCTCTATATTTATTTTAATCCTTGCAGACTACGAAACTAATTCTTGTGGTCATTACATAGACTAAAATGTATTTGTTTTCAGGTGCGGTGCCTGTTGGAGAAGCCAATCTTTGTTAAAGAAGGTCAGCTGGTTACTGGTACTGTGGAACTTGTAGCAAACAGAAGGTATATTAATTTCAAGTTTTCTGAATCAATGCAGTCAGTTGTAGTGGCTCTTATTCCTAATATTGAGTAGTTAAGTAACTGATTAAGTTGTGTATTCTTATTTAGGTAATGCAAAATTATTTTTACCATGCTTATTTTATTGTGCATGCATCTTAACCTGTAAACGGTCCAAGCAGATCTACGTTCACATGTGTAGTGCTCCAAAAGTAGATCTACGTTTTTTTTACATATTTTCAAATACTATAACAAAAAAAAAAGTAGATCAAAGTTTTTTACACATTTTCAAATGTAAAAAAGAAAAAAGAAGATCTACTTTTTTTACATACTTTCGAATGTTGAAAAAACGTATACAGTGGACCCCCGGTTAACGATATTTTTTCACTCCAGAAGTATGTTCAGGTGCCAGTACTGACCGAATTTGTTCCCATATGGAATATTGTGAAGTAGATTAGTCCATTTCAGACCCCCAAACATACACGTACAAACGCACTTACATAAATACACTTACATAATTGGTCGCATTCGGAGGTAATCGTTATGCGGGGGTCCACTGTATATACGTTTGGACCATTTACGGGTTAAATGAAGTGTGTGTGTGTGTATAGATTTTTTTTTTATGTTGGCCACTTCCCACCGAGGCAGGGTGACCCAGAAAGAAAGAAAAACCTCAAAAGAAAGAGAGGAAAAACTTATAACATCATTCAACACTTTCACCATCATTCATACATAATCACTGTTTTTGCAGAGGCACTCAGATACAACAGTTTAGATGTCACTCCAAACAGCCAATATCCCTGACTCCTTTAAAGTGCAGGCATTGAACTTCCCACTTCCAAGACTCAAGTCCAGCTAACTGGTTTCCCTGAATCCCTTCATAAAATATTGCCTTGTTCACACTCCAACAGCTCATATGTATAGATCTGTATATTTATCTCCATGGGGAAGTGGAAAAGAATTCTTCCTCTGTAAGACGTGTGTGTCATAAGAGGCAACTAAAATAGTAACCCCTTCTACTTTATACATTACTAAATTAAAAGAAAAAATACTTTCTTCTTTTTGGGCCACCCTGCCATGGTGGGATATGGCCGGTTTGTTGAAAGAAGATAATGTACTTAAATTTTGTGAACTCAATTTGTCATAATAAATGACTGTTCATTCACTTAATTTTTGTATTGATGATAAAGGATGGTTTGTACATGAAAAAATTACTTTCCAGTAAGTATTATCTAGAGGGCTTAGCAGGGGTTATTGAAGTGCTTGGACATTCAGCAGGCATGTATGAGCACGTTAGGAGTGAGTGGAGGCAAATGTTTTTTTGTGAATTGACGTGCTGTTGGAGTGTGAGTAGAGTAACTTTATGAAGGGATTCAGGGAAACTGGTTAGCTGTTCTTGAGTCCTGGAGGTGGGAAGTACAATTTCTGCGCTCTGAAGGAGGGTTGGAGATATTTGCAGTTTTAAACTGAAATATCGGCACCCTTCTGGCAAGACAGTGATGGAGTGAATGATAAAAATGAAAACGGTGAAAGTTTCTTCCTGTTTTGGGTCACCCTGAGTCAGTGGGAGATGGCCGGTTTGTTGAAAAAAAAAATTATGCTTATTATTCAATTAACGTATTTCACTAAACTTATATTTATTTTCTTTATTCAACAGACAATCGTATAATGTAAATCTGGAGGTACGAATAGAAGGCACATCCACAGTGTCCATTAACTCACTGGACCTGAAGAATCCCTATTTCCGTTATACAGGGCTGACCCCACAGCCTCCCCCAGGCAATAATTCAGTGTCACCATCAGAATCATATTGGGGGACAGTTGATGCTCAAGGTGCTAAACAAGGTAGGTAATAAAAATGGGTAATAATCTTTCAGTAGATAATTTAAAATGTTATTATCTGCAGTAAAGCTCTGCTGTTTGCTTCATATTTAAATGCTGGTCCGTAGGGTGGTTCTTAATTTTTTTGACTATTTTTCTAAGGGGCCTCTTGCCTAAATATTCCATATTTCAAAGATACATTTAAGAAAATTAAGTTCTAATCCATTTATATTTAGCTGTCACTACCAGACTGGTGTGTTGTTCCGGTAGTGAAGATAAAGAATTTTGCACTATATATTTATTAACCCTTAAACTGTTCAAACGTAGATCTATGTTATTACCACTAGCACTTCAAGCGTAGATCAGCATTTAATTTTCCTGCCTCCAAATTTGGCACGATTGGCCTGAGATGCCTGGTCAGTATAGAATGGGTCTTAATGCTTGGTGTGTGCAGTATTAAAATAATTTGGGACCACTTAGTACCTTGTGGGAGCACTAGTTCAATTGAGCGCCACCTAGAGCAAACAGCGCAGCAAACACCAGGGATTCACTGATGTCATGTCGTATTAACACTCCCCTTTTAAGAGGAAAGTGATACATACCCTGAGTTTAGTGTTTTTGAGATGGATGTGGCCACAAGTGGTTGAAGAAATATCAAAAACCTCGATAATAATCCATGTGCTACATTTGTGCAACATCCTTTCAATTTTTATACCTCACAGTGCTGTATTCACCATACTACAGTGCTGTATTCACCATACTACAGTGCTGTATTCACCATTTTACAGTGCTGTATTCACCATACTACAGTGCTGTATTCACCATTTTACAGTGCTGTATTCACCATACTACAGTGCTGTATTCACCATACTACAGTGCTGTATTCACCATACTACAGTGCTGTATTCACCATACTACAGTGCTGTATTCACCATACTACAGTGCTGTATTCACCATACTACAGTGCTGTATTCACCATACTACAGTGCTGTATTCACCATACTACAGTGCTGTATTCACCATACTACAGTGCTGTATTCACCATACTACAGTGCTGTATTCACCATACTACAGTGCTGTATTCACCATACTACAGTGCTGTATTCACCATACTACAGTGCTGTATTCAACCATACTACAGTGCTGTATTCACCATACTACAGTGCTGTATTCACCATACTACAGTGCTGTATTCACCATACTACAGTGCTGTATTCACCATACTTCACCATAAATTCCTGTAGTAATGCAGCACATTCAGAACACTCAGTATAAGGTTATGTACTAAAACATTATTTTCACGTTGTTTTCTTTGCAGCGGTTAACATGGTGAATGGAATAACAGTTAATGGCCTCGGAGAAGTTGCATTGGACCAAGGAACCTCCCTCATCACTCTTGGTAATTTACATTTTTTATTTTTTCTTATAGCATCCTATACCTTCTGTAGTTTCAACAAGTTCAGTTTTGTGTGCTACATTTTTTAACAGAAATTTGGTGCATTAGTCAGGAAATGCACTGGTGCTTTAGTAGTATAGCCAGGGGCAACTTTACACTGTCTTCAGAAAATTCAAAGTGCTATTAGATTTTCTGCTGCTGAAACACTGAGGTAATGCATATGCCATTCTTGCATCATTGCAAGGAAAGCATGGTTAACAGTGAAAGTACAGGAGGGCCTTGCATATACATCACCTTTTCGGTGTCCCATGTTTTTCCTGGCTTCAAATTGATCCATTGTTCATTATGATCCATTTGCCGGTGACTATCACCAGCACGTGGAACAGTGGCTCAGTTCAAAGCCAATGAAAACGTGGAACACTGATAATAGGTGATGTATATGCCGGTCCCTCACGTATCTGTAAAAAGATATGAAAAGTACAGTAGTTGCCCCGTATCCGTGGGGGATACATTCCAAGACCTATTGTGGATACCTGAAACCACAGATTGTAGCGAACTCTGTACGTGTCATTTTTCGTTTACATGCATACCTATGACAAAATTTAATTGATAAATCATGCAAAATAAGTGGAGAATTAGAATTTTTTTTACTGTTGGGAAGCACTTCATTGTTTCTCTTAGGCTTTGAGGAACTGTTACCATCACTACTTTTGTGCTTTGAGGCTGTTATTAAGCAAAATTAAAGATTAGTTTTTGGCCGTGGTAAACCGTGGAGAAGTGAAACTGCAGAAGCTGAATCCACGGATACGGGGGTTCTACTGCACAGAGTACAGGAAATTTCTGAAAGTGAAAGCTAGGTTGTTGAGATAGTTTGGTCATATAGAAAGATGAGACCTGATACAGAAATACTGTGACATCCACTAATAAGGAAACGACAGAAGAAGCAGGCGCTGAGCAAAATGTGTTACAATGTTTCGCTCAGTGCAGAGCTTGCAAGAGCTCTACGTTGTGAAACGTAGAGCTCTAGCATCTGTCTTTTTTTTTTTTTTTTTCATTTCTGTGCTATCCTCTATCTCTTAATATTTGCTTGTATGTGCTTCAAACGTTTTTGCTTGGTTGGTAATTTTTTGTTTTTAACATAGCTGCTGTCTCCTACCGAGGCGGGGTGATCTTAAAAGAAAAATGAAAGTTTTTCTTTTATACATGTAGTAATTTATACAGAAAGGGTTACTATCCCCTTGCTCTTGGCATTTTAGTCTCTTATGACATGCATGGCTTACAGAGAACGGATTCTTTACCACTTCCTAAAGTAAATTTTTTTTTTTTTTCAACAAGTCGGCCGTCTCCCACCGATTGATGGTTGGCTATGTAGCATTATTTGTGTTTTATACAGTCTCAGCTGCTGGGCTACTTTGGGCTTGCTAAAGAAAGTATTTGTTGATTCACCTGCTCGTCTTGCATATACAGTGGACCCCCACATAACGATTACCTCCGAATGTGACCAATTATGTAAGTGTATTTATGTAAGTACGTTTGTATGTGTATGTTTGGGGGTCTGAAATGGACTAATCTACTTCACAATATTTCTTATGGGAACAAATTCGGTCAGTACTGGCACCTGAACATACTTCTGGAGTGAAAAAATATCGTTAACCGGGGGTCCACTGTACATGTATTGCTGTAAATCACAGCTAGTTTATTATGCTGCATTAAATAACTTTGGTAAGTTAATAGATCTTGAATATTGCACAAAAATAAAGACCTGGATCCAGGCATTCCATGATATACACACAGTGGCGGTAAACCCTTATGTTGCAGGGGCATCATCTGAAGGAGTTTTCAAATTCTTAGGAAAAGGGGAAAAATCAGTGCTTCAGGGAATTAGATAGTGCTCAATAATAACCCACATGGAGACAGAAACTCAGAAAATTAATTGATCTCTACATTTTGACCCCTTGCTGGGGTCCTCTTCAGAGGATTCTGAAAAGACCCCAGCAGGGAGTTGAAATATACAGATCATTTAATTTGGAGAGTTTGTCTCCATGAGATATTATTGAGCATTGACAAGTGTTTATTACAGTTTAGTTATTAAGATAGTCAACTATGAATTTACTTATGAGTTATATTAAGATATTTAACACTAGCCAAGTAGATAGATAAATATACATGTAATATTTACTATCTTACAAGATATTTAATACTAGCCAATGCATGTAACATTCACTGTATATGTTGGGTTAGCATGCAAAGAGTCATCTGTGGGAAAATATAATAAAAGTGTGGCTAACATGAATTGGTGTTTAGTAGTGAAGTGGTGGTCTAATATCTTTCAAACTTGAAAGGGAATGCCAATTTTTTTTTTTTATTATTATACCGGCCATCCTCCACCAAGGCAGGGTGATCTAAAAAGAAAAACCAAAATTTTTCTTTTTACATTTAGTAATTTATACAGGAGAAGGAGTTACTAACCTTTTGCTCTCAGGATTTTAGTTGCCTCTTAAGACATGCATGGCTTTCGGAGGAAAGAAAAGGGAACAAATTACTGACGTAATTCACTGGTGATGTAGCTATCTTCTGTTTAACCCTTTGACTGTTTTCGACGTATAAATACGTCTTACGAGCCAATGTTTCTGACGTATATGTACTCAATAATTCTAGCGACTTCAAATCAAGCGGGAGAAAGCTGGTAGGCCCACATGTGAGAGAATGGGTCTGTGTGGTCAGTGTGCACCACATAAAAAAATCCTGCAGCACACATTGCGTAATGAGAAAAAAAAAAACTCTGATCGTTTTTTTGGAATAAAACGCCGACTTTGAGGTGTATTTTCGTATAGTATTTATCGTTGTATTCGCGTTTTCATGGTCTTAGGTGATAAAATGGAAAACATATTACAGAAATAGAGATGATTTTCATTACTTTGACGATGAAAACGACCTTGAAACTGAGCTCAAAGTAGCGGAAATGTTCGATTTTTACCAATGTTCAGGAGTAAATAAATCATACCACACATCCAATACACGTCAACTGGGGAGTCTTTTATTCTTTCACTAGTGCACTGATATTATTTATACCATTTTTACAATAATGCAGTAGTCTGCATAACAGTAAATTTTGTATTTTTTTGTATTAATAAAAAATCAAAATAGAAAGCAATAATAATATAAGAGGGGCCTAGAGATGTGACTAATGAACAGAGCATATGTTATTTTAGTGCCACGAATGTCTACCTTGTTTATTCTGGACCCTATTTTGAAATTGGCATCTTTTTTAGTTTGCGTGAAATTGGCCAAATTGCCAATTTCTGACCACCATATTGGGTAGTCCAAATTAGTAAATGGGAGGTTTCTTGTACTCAGCTGATAGATAAAATGGAGTTCTAAAGAAATAGCTATGAGTTTGGTCAACTGGAACAATGGAATTGGCTGAAAATAGGGCTCAAAGTCGGCAAAATCGCTGATACGCATATGTCGCCGAGACCGCTAACTTCGCGGGAGCATAATTCCATGAGTTTTCGACCAAATTTCGAACTTTTGATGTCATTACCATCGGGATAAGATTCTCTATCATTTCATAAGAAAAAAATAATTTTTTTTTTTTTTTTTTTTTCAAAAATTGAGCGACATAGAATGACAGTTTCAGAGAGGGGCCTGAAACAGTCAAAGGGTTAATGTTGTAACATGGAATGCTATGTATCCTCAGAATGGGAAGAAAAAATTGTGTTAGAGCCATGACCAACACTAGCTTGCTAAAGTTTATCTTGCGTAACTTGTCAGCCAATCAGTGAATATGTTTATATAAACATTGTTGAGTAAGACACACATGCAACAGTTGGGTATCTTTATTGTTGAAACAAGTCACATACTTGGTAGGCTTCCTCAGTCAGATACAAAAAAATTATCTGTATTTGACTGAAGAAGTCTAACTCTTGCATGTGTGTCATACTGAACAACTTGTCAGTATTATATACCATTTTACAACATGGGTAAACATTCTTCCAACTGTGGTGGGTGGGTGGGAGGGGCTACACTCCCTATAGTGCTATCTAAAATAATTATAGATTTTGCCTCTTGGTGAATCTAGAAAGGTGAAGCGCTGTTTATGTTCTGTAATAAATTTTCTGATTTGGGCACATTTTGCTTCAGAACCCTTAGGGAGGTGCCTTGATGCTGGTGAAGGGCTCTTGATCCAAAGGATTGGAAATACACTACCCTTGGATCATACCAGATTGCGTCCCTTTCCCAAGGTGTTAGATGATCCCTAAGAGTTTAGTGCATTCTTGGGAATTTATGGTGTTACACGAGTCATATCTCTTACTCGTACTTTATCCTTGTTGATGTTGACATTTATAAGATAGATGATCTATGAAGGCAATAGATATACAAGTGGGAAACCGAATGAGTGCAATTTCAAGAAAATACTATGATTGGTTTTCAGTTAATAGGTCTTGTTATTTTCTTTCTTTTTTTTTTTTAAACACATCAACTGTTTCCCCACCAAGGCAGGATGACTTGATGAAGAAGTAACTTGAGTCCTGGAAACTGGAAGTACAATGCCTGCACCTTAGAGGAGGGGCTTGGGATATTGGCAGTTTGGAGGGATTTTTAAACTGTCGTATCTGAGTGCCTTTGCAAAGACAGTGATTATGTATGAGTGATGGTGAAAGTGTTGAATGATGATGATGAAAGTTTTTCTTTTCTTATCTTTTTCGGTCACCCTGCCTCGGTGGGAAACGGCCGACGTGTTAAAAAAAAATTGCAGGGAACACATTACTGTAATTTTTTTTTATAATAGTGGCATTTTCTTTCTTTCTTTCTTTCAACACACCGGCTGTATCCCACTGAGGCGGGGTGGCCCAAAAGAAAAAACAAAAGTTTTTCCATTTACATTTAGTAATATATACAGGAGAAGGGGTTACTAGCCCCTTGCTCCTGACATTTTAGTCGCCTTTTACAACATGCATGGCTTACGGAGGAAGAATTCTGTTCCACTTCCCCATGGAGGT